ATAGAGAAGGGGGTAGAAAGGAGGGAGAAATAGTGAAGGCTGTCGCACCAGTTACTGAATGATTGGTACACCACCACTTCTTGGCACTGGTCACCCAATTTTTCTATTCCGTACCCAGCTCCAAGATAGATTGACAGATGAAGATTCTGAACTTGTTTGACCGAAGATGACTTGCCCATCAGGAGACTCGTGCTCGCCTGAAAGAGTCCACGAGGCGTTTTCGTTCCTCAGGGAAAATTTACCAGTCTCTTTACAAAATCCTAAAGTTGCAATTGTGTGTGGCTCTGGTTTGGGGGCCTGGCAAATACTATTCGTGATGAGCCACGGGCAGAGTTTGATTATTCTTCTATTCCACATTTCCCACATCTAACAGGTAAGAAACGAGCATGTTCTCTCTACATTGAGTTCAACATACTCATTCACCTGATAGTTCCTGGACATGCAGGCAAACTTATCTTCGGCCTTCTGGATGAACAGGTGCCTGTTGTTTTGATGGTTGGGCGTGCCCAGTAAGTTTCCTAAACGACATGAGAAAAGCCAGTTAACTTACGAATGCGCCCTTGAAAGCTACTACGAGGGTCATTCTATCAACCAAGTGACATTCCCTGTTCGAGTTTTCAAATTGCTGGGGGTGGATACTCTAGTGTGTAAGTTTGCATTCATTTGATATATGCAATTTGGCTAATAACCATTTTTAACAGTGACTAATGCTGCGGGGGGTCTGAATTCAGAGTATGCGGTCGGCGACATTGTATTGTTGAACGATGTGAGTTATTTGTTCCTTTCGCTAGTTCCCAACCCTCCAGATTCCATTTGACATAGGCATTTAGCATATCTTCCTGGCCGGTTTGGCAGGCACTCATCCACTCAGAGGAGCGAACGCCGAAGAGTTTGGTCCTCGCTTTCCCCCTTTGTCAGATGCTTACGACCTCGGGCTCCGACGTCATGTGCATACAGCTTGGGGAGAGGTGATGCAGGCAGAAAGCCAACGAAGGCTGCATGAAGGTGTGTATGCTTTTGTTGGAGGACCCAGGTAAGTACCAAGGTTGTACAATTGCAAGGCATTGTCTTCTAAAGCAATCCAGTTACGAAACAAGGGCCGAATGCCGCATGCTTCATAAACTCGGCGCAGACGTGGTTGGCATGTCAACTGTACCAGAAATTGTTGTCGCCAGACACTGTGGCATCAGAGTCCTAGCACTTAGTTTGGTAACAAACTGTGCTGTTCTCTCTCCCGTTCCTCGTGGAGACGATCGTCTTTTACAGGGAAAGGGCGTCGAAGAGCTGGGTGCTATTCTGCAGGAGGGCAAAGCAAACCATGAGGAAGTTCTCGAGGCTGGCCGTTCAGCAGCCATCGATATGCAGGTCCGCACCCAGATGATACCTCTGTCATGCTTGATTGAAACTAACGCCTACCAGAGGGTTGTAGTCCGAACCATATTGGGCGCATACAAGGGCGATTAGTATGTGCGACCGCACTTTGGATGGCTCGGAGTGAGATGACGGGCAATTGCTCAGAATCGCCCAATTCATCGCGAACCGTTAATTTAGCCCCCTGCCTAAAAGCATACCAAGAATGGCTCGGGAGATATCCTTACAGTATCATGGTTTCAAGAGCCGTCCATGTAAGAATGGCATCAGCCTTCACTTGCCTTTTGAGCTTCTCTTGGCTTGCAGATGCTTGTAAAAGGATTTCTTGCCGCTCTGCTTGCTGGTCTGTATTTCTCTGTATTTAGACTCAAACCGCCTGTTGTGTCGCTCTTGGTCTAGTACTTCTTCCACGAAAGTCCTCTTGCGATCTTTCTTGGCAATGCGACCACTGAAGAACTCAGTTGGACCTTCAATAATGGTTCCCACTTGAGAATACTTAGGCGGCTGTGCTTTTCCATTTTCTTTCTTGTAGTGTCTTTTAGGATCTAATACCGACCGCATTCTGAGAAGTTGTAAATCCCTTTTGAATTCTGGTGTCAATTCTGTCTGGGGAAGGTCGAACCAGTTGCTGCCAGCTGTAGGTTTATCCTATACAGTCATATTGTTAACTTCCAACCCAGCCTGAATGATTTAGAATGACAGTTGTTTGACAAGAATGCTCAGAGTAACTATGAAAATTTGGCTCTCATTGGTACAGCGCAGCCCAGTACGGACTGTTGAAGCTGTATCAAGCGCTTAAGCGAAGGGATAATTTTCCTCATAGCAACAACATAATAGGGACTCATGAAAATTGGGTGTTTTACCTTTTTCACTTTCGGTTGTTTGGGCTCCTTGTAGCCAAGACCATCATGTGCATCCTGCGCGCTCTTCAGGACGCGTGTGGTATCGATCGTTGTAAAATCATCCTTCTGTAGGAGGTAAGGCTGCAGAGCACGATCTGAGCATAACCTAGGAATACTTTTCTTACATATCAGCTGTGATTCTGGCCACATACTAGTTGTTTGCAAGGTGCTCAAGATATGTTCTAGTAAGCTCTACATACCTTAACAAAGTGTGCTGAGGCTGATTGCCAGATACCTCTCTGGTATCAGGGCGATTAGTGGAATTCACATCTTGAGCACGTAGTCGGCCTTCCGCCTCAAAAAGCAGCTCCTCAATATCATGGTCTGTGATATCAACTTGATCATGACCGTTGTTGGCTCCAACTTCACCACATATTGTTTGAGTCATGTCCTCCAGTTCTAGAAGGAGTGTGTGGGAAACAACCGAGATGCTGGTTATGTGGGCTTTGAAAGGGGAAGAAATAAAATAGGGAAAGAAAAGAAGAGACTGAAATTTTCCAAGGGCGCTTATATAGGCGGTAGCTGACTAGTCTCTTATTGTCTGCACAATTTTCTTGTGTGGGGCTACTCGGCGGTAACCAACCTAGCACTAACTAGGTAAGCGCCTCAATTATCGAACCATCCATGACAGACTATGGTAGCTGGAACTTGGTGGAGGTCTTGAGTTCGGGGGAGAATGACCTCTAGTTTTTCTAATCTGTAGAGTATATAAGCAGACTACATCATGTTGTTATCAGCCTTCCATGTCTCCTCCATGCTAGGCGCTCTTTTGTGTCGCTTGGAGCTACATTCAAGAGAGCTATTGCTTTTTCTTTCTTCTTGGTTTCTCTTTTCCGTGTATCTTCTATCTGGCTGGCCTCTTGCAGGGGTAGGAATCCAGTCTTTGTTCATCCTTATATATCGTGTGTAGAGGCAAGAATGGACATTTACATATATATTTGCAGTTGTTTAACCTAAGTTATCAATACCCACGTCATACGATTCTTAGCATTCAGGAATAGAAGATGTTGTGTTCTCAAAACACGGGGTGCTCCGTACATATATGTATATATAAGTTGTGCCATTTCTTCACGCGATAGACCATACAGTATGGTATGTACAGTGGCCTGTGACTGCAGAGGTAGAGCTATAATACACTACAAAATATGTGGTTTAATATACAAGATCAAATTGTTAATCCTCATAGTTTGGGCAGGTGTAAGAATACGAGTTAAACTGTATCACTACCGATATAATAAATCTCTGTGCAGAGTAATAATATAGAGCAGCAACTTATTTACCCATTGTGTTTTCCCTTCCTCGTTGCTGTTTTCAAGCTATCGTTGGTGGTGACGGATTCCCCGCGTTGAGGTGCTTCCAAGACGTCACGCTTAGCGGGCGCTTGCCTTACGCGCTACTTTCCGCTGCTCAGGCTGAACAGTACCACGCGCAACCCATCTTGTTGTCCCAATCCAAAACAACAGGACCACCCAGCAGCCGCCTCTTCTGATTCATTCAATTGCTCCTCTCCTATACAGCCTCTCTGAAGCTCCGGGATAATAAATTTATTTGGCTAAGACTCTGCAGCAGATTCAAATTCCATCTGTTCATCGTCATACCCGTTGGCTCGACAATCTCACCAAAGCAGACTCCCCCACCATATCCGATACCACATAGCCCGGAATATATCGTTAGTGCATGCCTGTGGCCGGCCAAACTTTCTATCCAAGATTCTATAACCATGGACCAAACCGCCCAAGGTGCTAGCCAGCAGCAGGGCAGACAGCAACCTGTCTATGATACTAGAAACGGTGGACACTATGGTAATCATCCCTCAAAACCTTCGGGTCTTCTATTCCCCCTTCTTCTCTCCTTGAGAACATTTCCCTTTACTCTATACCAAAAGGCGCCTTAGCAAACACTAGGCTAACATGGATATTCAGGTGCCAGCGCAGCGGTATGTTCTGCCTACGAGGATCGTAGATGCACTTATCAAGTCTGTAGTTGCCTGACTCGTCGTGTATTAGCTTTCTGCACAGGGATATGCGCCTGTAGCTGAGCTTTATACGGGTACTTGGGCGAATGTGGGTATTATTTCATTCAGGTAGATGGCTCCGAAAGAGGGTACTAATGTGAACCAGGTCAACCAAGGCTTGCAAGGCACGGCTCGTGATATTCTGACAACGTATTGGCAGCATATCATCAACCATCTCGAATCAGACAACCATGATTATAAAATCCATCAATTGCCATTAGCGCGTATCAAGAAGGTCATGAAAGCTGATCCAGAGGTGAAAATGATTTCAGCCGAGGCACCAATCCTCTTTGCTAAAGGTTGTGATATTTTCATTACCGAGCTGACTATGCGAGCTTGGATACACGCCGAGGACAACAAGCGGCGCACTCTGCAGAGATCAGATATTGCTGCAGCTCTCTCAAAATCTGACATGTTCGATTTTCTCATTGACATAGTTCCCCGTGAGGAGGCCACGTCGCACGCAAAGCGATCGAGTCAGGCAGCAGGTGCACCAACTGGGGCTCCTGGGCCTGCAGGCGCTGCAGGACAACTTCCACCATCTCAACACGGAGTGCAGCACCCCTCACATCACATGGCACCACCCGACTACAGCTTGGGTCAACATGGTCTTCAAGACCAAGAATATCGTCAACCAGCTATGTATGCGGGACCTGTGCAATCAGATCCAACTGCAGCATATGGTCAGCCGCAATCTCAAATGTTCGAAGGAATGTATGCCGCTTACCCGCACTTACCGCCGCAGCAGGTATGTCCAAGACCATCTCATATTCACATTTCTGTGGGATAATTCACCGTAGAGTTATCTTTGCTTGTCGAATTATGTCCGGCTAATCATAACTTCTGGCTTCAAAGTGATCGGGTGCGCGATGCGATCGTACATTACCCAGTTGGTTTTTTGTAGTTCCTTATTTGCGAGACTTGGGCTTTGATCTTCATAATGGAGTTCTTCTTTTTCGTGATAGGCTGGTGATATCTATCAGTCTAACTGGTGGAAAGGATACGGTAACGTAATTATTTGGTGTCGTCAGACTCCAGATGCACCATAAACTATTTCATCTTCGATACTCGTTGAAATGAGCTATGTGTTTACATTTCCTCATATCCTACATCCCGCACTTGCTTTAATAAGGGCCTACACAAACCTAGTCACGGCCCTGTCTAGGATTTCTTTCCGAATCTCGAAGAAAGTGTCGTAAATTTGTCAGTCTTCACGGGACTTTGAATAGAGCGAATCACCCTTCTATAGGTTAGTATGTCCGGCTATTATGGGTTCTCTGAAAACATACTTTTCCAGGAGGACTGGGCCGTTGATGGCGTCCACGCGACCATACTTCTTATTCCGAGTAGAAATATCATAGAACTCATCAGTATTATCCGCCTGCATCAACTGCACAGTTTGCTGGAGTTCATCGAGGTTTTCCCGAAGGATAGGCACACCAAGACTATCGACAAAGTGATAGAGATATTCAACGTCCTTTGCAAGGGCCATGACACCATTCGGGTTGATCTTCTTTACATCTGCGGCAAGGGGGAGCGCCTAAGACGAAAGGTTAGCAGAGCCCAAGACTATGATTCAGGCTTCCTCAATTGCGTACAAGAATCATATTTGCTGCATGGCTAAGAGCATCAAAGTAAATAAGCTCCTTGATCTCAGTAGGGAGCCCGAGTAATGTCGAATTCATTATATTGGATAAGAACCGAGTCAGAGTTTGCATGTAGTTGCTCGGCTCTGTAGGCGGAACTAGAGCCATCCAGTCATATTCCGCGGTTTCAATGAGGTCGTCAATCTTGGAGTTGACCACCTCAAAGATACGCTTCTCTGCCGCCTTTTTATTGCTCCTGAACTTTTCGGTGGCTTTAAGAGTTATGGGACCACCCGTGGAATTATGTGATCTCGCTGCTGCAAGGAGGCTTTCGAGTTCATGACAAGCGAGCTCAAAATGCTCCAGATTAATGAGTATCTGAACGATCTGCCCCAAATATTGAGAAGCAAGGCGCTCAACCAACGTATCACAAACTCTGCTTGAAAGAAGTTCATCGAGTGCCTAGACATGTTTAGTGAGTATCATTTGCGGCGCTTACCTATGTTAGACTTACATCTTTAAGAGATTCGTCGATGACATTTGAGTGGGAGAAATCGTCGTTGGCAAAGAAATAGAATTGATTCAGGAAATTCCGGATGTCAATGCAACATAAGGGATACATCTGAGAAAAAGGCAAGACACACGGGAAACTAGAATAACGAGTTAGTGTCGATGAATCAAAATTAATGAGGATCAAGTATATCAATGTACGTTTGCTCTTCCCGTGGTTTCTCGGGTGTGTACCAGCTAACATTGAGTACTTTGTCAAACTCCTCCAGCGTCTGGATGGGCATAGGCATATAATCATCTGTGGATACAATCTTCGATGACTTTAGTACAACGACAAGTATTTAGGGCGGAAGAATATACCTCTTGAAAATCGTCACTGAACCTCTTCTTGAGCAATTCGGCATACTTCTTGAAGAGAGTGAGCAAGAAGTTGTCAAAGACACCAACAGGGAAACCCCAACTCTACATTCAATAAAGTTAGTGTCATCAGTTAGTGGGGTGAATGAGTCAGAAGGATGGCAGACATTCATTGTTTGCATGAACAGTGCAATAAGATTCTTGATCTTCAACAAACTCTCGGCATTATCGACTTCGGGGAGAGCCTTTAATATCAGGTTCACAGCTGTTTGGCACATAGAATCCCAGAGTTCATCTACCTATTAAATCTTGTTAGATTCATAACTCATAAGGCACGTATAAAGGTTAGTGCTCACATCGACTGGAGATCGCAAGTCCGGCACTCTCTTCATTGTAGATCGTTCAACAATCGCAAATCCAGCCATTTCTTCGAGTAGATTATGTAGGCTTGCGCCATCCTCATCAATAAGAGTTACTGATGCAGGTATCAATAACTCCTTTTGTCGACGACGTGTATTGGCATACTCAATCCTAAACTTATCCATATGTCCAAGGGACTGGTGAATGTGTAAGCATTCAAACAGTGGTGTGAAGTCGACTTGTAGTTCATCGTTCTGTAGGAGGTCATATTCCTCATGTTCATCAGAAACAAGCTCGATGGCGGAATTTAGTTTAAAATGGCCAAGAAATGGTGTTATGTCGGCTCTCTCCTTCTGCCTCGTTTTACGGAGGTCTGTATGATACAAGGCGATTTCCCCCAGATACTGTGACATCTCCCGAATTCTGTACAGCCAAGTGTTTAGATCAGACATCACTGCCTCAGCTATGGCCTTTTGAGTGGCTGGCACTGAGCGCTGAATCATGTCTGCAATTTTGTACTTGGTCACACCCTTGAGGTGAACATTTTGGAGCTCATCAAGGGCTCGAAGGGCAGCATAATGGTTTTTCCTCGCTAATAAATCATGGATTTGGTTTGCGAGGCGGAGAACCTCCAGGCAATCCTGAATAGCACGCGAGGTTTCATCAATATTTTGACGGTGGCTTCGTGATTCAACCAGAGCTCTCTTCTGCTCAGCTAGCTTTTCAGTACTAGCTTGGATGGATTGATTTAGGTCCAAAATTTCGGCTGTTAGGCTCACAGTACCTTCTCTAATACGGAGGAGTTGATTGACAGATGTAACGAATTCTTGATGATTGGTGTTGCAGATGGTTTCTATTTCAGCTTCCTTATCGCTGGCAAACCTAGACAAGGACTGTAGTAGCTGTGGAGTTCGATTTCCCACACTATATTCCTTTATTGAAGGAATCAACTGGTCAAGATAATCTGTATCTGAAGGTGATATGATAATCTGAGAAGTCCAGACAAATTAGAGTAGTCACCAACTTTCTTTTTCTGACTCTGACCTGATTCAAGACATATGCAGATTCATTGCGAGAAGAAACCATAGAAGGCATGATGATAGCTTAATTTAGGTATCAAGCTTTTGAAGCATTGGTGGAAAGTAATGTGCAGAGAAGTGAATGACTGCAGTATAGGATTGCTTCATTGCAGATAACCCAGTTGAATTGCTGTCTGTACTTTGGTACTTCCGTCCGTAATTTACTATACCTATTAAGACAAGGCATGTGGATACTACCTTGCTTGCTCTAGCTCCCTAGTACGAATAACTTAGCCTTACTGCTTATGGTATAGTGCAATTACTCCCGTCAAGCCTTACTGTTTTCTAAGTGCTGGACAGACTAGTGGGGTGTTAGCTCCGACAGAGAGTAAACTTGGTGGTACTGTACATACATAAATGTGGTACTACTAGTGGTGCATCGAAAGATCTGGTACCCTTTTTCTTATTCTTCTTAGTACATCCCTCGGCCCCTACTTACCATTTTACTAGCTGTTATAGTTGTGACCTTTCTGTAGTGTTCCATAGACTAAATGACTGGTATTTCCCGCTTTTTCATTTGAAACAAAGATCTACCACGAACATATTTGCAAAAGAAGATTGTGAGCCAAATACAACCAGATGGCCAAAGAATTCGTATATAGATCACCATTTGCAAGATTTCAACTACACTTCCTTCTCAGGGCTTCTCTTAACTTTATTTCTTTTAGTGCTTTCACTCTCCAGTCTGAGGTTTAGAAGGCCATGTTGTATATACTTTGAGAAGGAGGTGAAAGGGATTGTTTCTCCAAGTAAAAGGTATCATCACCTTCATAGTAAGTCAGGCGTTCGCATTTTCTGGCGTATCTCAGATTGTGTAGTAGGTACATCAGGATTTGCCTTTATTGAATTGTTCACTGACTCCCACTACCAAGCAAAACTTGCATTTAGGATAGCATGCCCCCCAATATGAGAGTGCACGAATCACTCGCTTCCTACTATTGGCCATTATCCTGAGGCTAAGTTACTGTTTTCCATCTTTACACCGTAGCCTGTACAAAATTCTTCTACACATAGTGTCTACTGAATACTAGTAGTTTGCACTGGCCATCTATGTAATCAAAGATACTAGTATATGCGGCGTACTTCCAAATTAAGAATGTGAACTTCCGGCTGGCTTCCCCATACTTGATTTCCTCTACCATATGTTCTGTCGTCATTTTACCCTCCAGTACTCCTTAGCTGTTTCTCTTGGAGACAGGGTGCAATTTTGTGTTTGCCTTCCTCCTACCTCTGTCTAAGTATTTCTTTTCAATGCCTTACACATCCCATCTCACGTAACAAGGTTACAGATCGATCTCATTGTTCTTTGTTGTTCTTTGCCTATTCTCTCACATATTGTGTTAGATCAAGTGTGTCTCCAAAGAAAACAAAAAGAAATATAAGATATTTTACAACGATAGCCGCGTGAGATGAAGGCGAACGAGTCTCCTCGTGGTATGAGTAGCCCTTGCTCCACAAGTGGGATAGCTTCTCCAAATGGATCCCCTGATACTAAACTCACGGCTTTTTCGCCGGAGGATGTCCGATCCAAAGGCCGCCCTGGGTCCAGAGCCCATGGTCCAGTAAGCGACGCAGGGCTCCGGAAACTGTATTCGATGCAAGTAGAGATCAGTCATAGTATTTGGCCTAGATTTACTAACCTACTTAGGGCCGCATCCGATCCATTCCTGGTGCCGACAAGTACATCCAGAGTGCAACTTTCACCGACTGCAGCGGCTTTTACGCCGGTTGGGATGGCAGATACTGTGACTAATGGCAACCTGGCCCAGTCCATGACCCGTGCCCTCTCCAGTGCTAGCTATCTGGCTGTTGACTCTATTGCCGAAGTAAATGGAACATGCAGCGGGCTTGTAAACCCCTTTGACCAGGGTTCATTGAACTACGGGACCATTGGAAGTGCTCGAGGGTTTAGGAGCCTATCGTCCGGTCCAGTCCTCGAGAAATTTGATTCTGAGCGGCGCAGTCGTGCTCTTGTTATTGAGAATGTCCCGACTAACCTTACATACATGGCGCTGGCTGGGTTTTTTAACGTAAGTTGGTGAAAATATGCCCAGCAGCAGAGTGAAGAGAGACCGTTGCTAACCTGGAGAAGCGGCGTGAATTTGGTACTCTTAAAGGCCCTGTACTCACGGAGCTTAGCTCCATGGGAAAGGTATATGTTTCTTTCACTGATAGCCGTGAAGCAAAAAAGGCGATTGAGAAAATCCGACTTCTTCGACCTGAATGGCGCGTGTTCCCTCTTACAGCCAAGGAATATGTACAGCATACAGAGCCGTCCCTTCTGTCCGATGTTTCTGATTATGAAGGCCAATTACTTGTGACTGTCTATTATGATTCCCGAAACCCTACCTTGAATCAGCACACGGTTACCCGCTCAATCGAAACGATCGTCACAACTTTCGGTGACATGAAAGCCTTCACTCCCTTGCCCACTGGCCAAGAGGACATTAGCGAGTTCCATCTCGAGTTCTTTAATACCCGGGATGCGGAAAATGTCATGACTACACTCAACGGAAGCTCGGTCGAGGTGAACTAACGCATCCCAATTCCCAGAATGCGAAGAACTAACGCTATGTCAAAAGGAGTGTATTCTTGAGGTTTCGTCTTTCAAGCCGGATATTGAGGATAAGCCACGCCATCCCCTTCCTAGTCCGTCTCCTGCAAGAGATGGGTTATTCCGATATGAAACACCGTGCCCCAAGAATGCCGCTTGGACCCCGAGCCGTCCGAACCGCTCCCTTTTTATGGAGCTCAGCCCTACCGGGCGCTCGACAGTACCTCCTGGTGAGCACGCTGGTCTCATGGATTGGATGTCTAGGGCAGGTGAAGGAGTCTTGCTTTCTCCCCGTCGTGACATTAGCCGTTTCCCTGAATTGCGCGTAAGTAATCAGAACGCGGTAGACATCGAACGGATTCGCCTCGGTCTTGATGTCCGGACTACGGTATGTATCAACCCTGAAATATGTTGATGTTCACTGCATAACCATAGTGTTGTGGGTAGATAATGCTCCGTAATATTCCGAATAAAATAGATCAGGTAAGCTCAAATTGAACAAACTTGGGGAGGCAAATATGCAGTCTAATATGACTAGACTATGCTCAAGGCTATTGTTGATGAAACAAGCCGTGGAAAGTACGACTTTATGTACTTACGTATTGGTAAGAGATCATGGCTAGCGCACGACTTTCTGCATAAAAAGCTGACTTCTAAATGAAGACTTTGCGAATAACTGCAAGTATGTTAGACCTCAGCCATACAGCCTTATATTCTGCCATACTGACATGCTTATCCTAGCGTCGGGTATGCCTTCATAAATTTTGAGGATGTAAGACACTTACGATACTCTCCACGCATGATTTACCACCTCTAACGTTATAATAGCCGATTGATATTATCGATGTCAGTGCTAGGCCGGACGAGATTTGAGCATCTTGTGCACATCACTCACTGTTTTCTAGTTTGTAAATGTGCGAGCTGGGCGCACCTGGCAAGAATCCCTAGTACCTAGTAGGAAGGCCACGGTGTTAACGAGGTCCTACAGGAATTGCTTTAATAGCGACAAAGTTGCCGAGGTATCATACGCCAGTGAGTCATGAGTTATCTACAAGGAGTATATAGTCATCTGAGCTTTAAACAGCAATCCAAGGAAAGGATTGTCTAGTACAAAAATTTCGGAACAGCTCCGTCATGCTCGAGCATCCGTCCTTTCGTCCAAAGGTTTGCGGTGTATGCTTAGAGACATAGAAAGTGAAACTGACACCTGGGATCTAGATTTTTCATACCGGCAGTGGACATCTTGCTGGCACTGAGGATCGCTTCCCAGGACCAGATAACCCATCAAAAATGCGTCGCAGTATCGAGAATGCTGAGCATGTCGGTTAGTACGATATATGGGGGCAGTATAGAAATACCATTAACCTGATGTTGTATTCTATAGGTTTGTTTGCTCCCCGAGTCGGTCAGCAATATCGGGATGAGCAGCGTCGCCGTCGCTCGCAATTTGACCGCGGAACAACTGCTGCAGAAAGAGAAATCGTGTATGTTCGGACGCTCACCCCAAAGCATTCTTCTGGTGTTGGCAGCGGTCTAAGGAGTGCCCCTTGCACCTACCCTGCCATGAAAATGTGGTACGATCCGACTATGGACCGTGGTCCTAGGACCTCTTGATTTGGTACACTCTCCAGTGGCTTTTGTGAAGTGTATACTCTGACTTGGTGATTGAAAAAGAAAGGCAAATGATAAAATTAAAAGAGAGAGAGAGAAAGGAGAGAGAATAGGAAGGGGGAAAAATAAGAGGAAGAAGAGCTAGTTGACAGTGAGTATGTGTATGGAGATCTGTTCGCATATGTCTGATTTGCGGCCTGTTGCGCAAAAAAGGGAATTATCATTACTCTCCAGGCTATCCCGCATCATCCCCTCTACTATTCACCTTTACTCGTCTCATGTGTCCCATATCCTTCTTAGTACAAAGTTAACTTGGAGAGACAACCGACGTTTTTGACCCGCAGGAGAAAAACATTCTATGCCCTGGTAGGCTAGGATGTGGTGTCTCGGTTTGAGTCTGAATGTTGGGTTTATCTCCCTTGGAAGCCTTTCTCTGAGAGATTCAGGTCCTTCCCATGCTCTTGAACGTTACAAAGTTTATTCAAGGTTAATCAGAAAATCTACAAACCAAAGGTGAAGCTAAGTAAGGTATTTACATTGAGAAGTGCCTATGCATTGTAAACATAGTACTACTAATTACATGGCCTTAGCCAGAGATGTGTCTAGACTTTGGATATCGAAAATATTGGGAGTATGTACATTTATTCAGGTACGGAGGATTCTGGATTCTATTCGTAACAGTGCCCCACCGGCACTTACTCCGTATTCGCCCGAGTATCCCATATGAAAACTACCCGTGAACTAAAAATCTTATGTCCAACAACGCACTGTAGGTATCCCAAGGAGAAAACACACACACGCACACACAAAAAGAAAGACAAAACTAAAAAAGAATTGATTTGGTCTAAGAACTGGCATATAACTGCAAACATCACGAGCCAAATAATCCGCCACCTTTCGAAATCCCGTCTCTCAAAAAGAGCAAGGTCCGAAGAAAGGGGGGTGGTCTGGCGCCCTTCAGTTGTGTGTGAGTTTACCTACTGTGTCAAGTTGTATAATCGAAATGGATGCAGAGAAGATTTATGCCGAGCATTCCATACTTAAATTGGTATACCACCGCAATAAGAATCAACATAAGAGAACCAAATGGTGGAAATGGTTGTCAGTATTAAAACGTACCACCTGGAACCTCGCGCGATCTCTTGACTGTATACAATCACCTAGCGGAGCGGCAGACTCCCCTGATCGATACATACAGTGTCTTGCGAATCATATTCTTCCAAGATGTTACCTGTGAGTTCTATGAAAGAATACATGTCACGTGAACACAGTCACTAATGAATGATAAATTAGGACCTTCTCGACAGTTGTGGCTGATGGGCAGTTTTCTACTCTTGGGGCAGTGTTGTTAGGCACATTGGCTCGCCTTGCGAAATCCACAGGAATTGACAAAGAAATGAAGCTTGCAGCTCAGACAGAAACCCCCAAGGCCGCTTCTTCACACGCTAGGATCGACGGTCCAGAGGATGTCGGAGAGGTTCTGTCTCGAAATAACAATTTGTCAGGTCTCGGAGGATTTCTAAAAATGCCTTGTTCAAAGGCAGAAGAATGCCCGAAGTCCAGCCTGAAGAAATGGAACAAAATCACGGATACCGCCGTAAATCAGAGTAAAAACAAGAAGAGGAGGAAGAAAAAGGATGCCATTGACGACCTTTTCGATAGTCTCTTGTAGTTCTTTTTCTTACAATCTGTCAGCGCCCGTTTTCTGTTGTCAATGACTCATAATAGTCACCATTGGAAGCACCGAGCGGATTCATAGCTGTTTGACAATTATGATTCTCTGTGAATAATAACGCAGAGAGCTCATCTCTTTATAAATAAGCGCCAATCGATCTCTCCTAGTACATTTACCACAATGTGGTTGATCATCGCCCATGCCATAGTGTAAAGGTATTTCGGGGAGAAGACCGTCCAGATAAAAAGATGTGTCCTTAAAATTGTACACGCCGCCATCACTGACATTAACATTGTTGTCAAATGAAAAGTCAGCATGGTTATATGCGCCTCCTTTTCTTCCCGACTCTGCGGGGAACGGAGCAGCCTACTGGCTGAGACCCACCATATTGGGGCGGCCCAGTTGCTGATGAATGTCAAGCACCGACGATAACAACATTGTAGGCACCGATACCATTATATGCATTTGAAAGGTCAACTGACGAGATAGCATTTGAGCCTCCAAATGCGTAAAAGGTCACATATTGCATGAGCAGAGAGGTTATGGTTTGTTCCACGGTTGATAAACGCATCGATGCGATGATGGTGATTTGTAATCTAAAAATTAGAAAAGCAGGTATGTTCGTCACTCTCGATTGCATCAGTAAGAAAAGTGTGAGAGTCTCGTGAAATATTGTGCTTGTTGGCCCTTTTTTTCTGTCAGAATCATTCGGTAAGGTCTTTGAGATCAATACTTGCCAGTGCCCTTGTGAATCGATCCCCGGGCTTTTCCGACATACATGGAGTATATCATGAGAAGAGATATTCCACAAAGAACCATTCTTGCATGATAAAGCAGGTGCATTCCATCAGCTACCATGGCCACGGGCTGCAAGAAGGAGTTACCGAGAAGTTCGGGAGAGTCGGATGCCGCCAATGATAACTTGAAAAGAAAGGCTGCCAGCGTCACCACACAACTAATAAAACGCCAAAGCATTGATGCAGGAAGGTCGAAGAGAAGGTGCAAACAAGTATCAGCGTATGTCAGAATCACCAAGGCCCACAAAGTATGCTGATGGGAAGGAAAAAAGGACCCGGTAATGTCCGGCTGAGCAGCAAATTTTTGGCCTGTCTGATTCCATCTTCGCAGAACTCGATAAGACACTGCTAGCGTAGCTGCACCAAACCTGGGAAGTGAGGGTACAAATGGCCAGTATCCTTCCGCTGGACCAGATTTTTGGATTGACTTGCGATGGAAGTAACCAGCATATTTAAGATGTAGGTAAACCACCCATCCCATCGATACCCAGTACCAGAACTGCTGTTCTTCTTCCACGTAGCTACTTGCAAACATCATGGTACTATAACTTAGGATGCTAAATCCCAAAAATATTCCTGCCGGCGCGAAGTTCACTAGCAGCCTTTTGACTGGGAAAAAGGTAAGTGAGATAGCAAAGCCGGCAATGGAAAGCCCGATATAGAGCCTTAAAAGGTTATAATCACTCGCAGCTCTGCTCATAAGTCCCTGGGCACTCCTCAAAAACAGTAGAAGAGCAGACTCGACCTCTGAAGAGGCTCCACGATCGTAATCAGCACCCGATCTATTGAGTAGTTCAAGCACTCGGAACCAAGCGCACTGAACACGCTCAATATCGGTCAATGATTGAGAGCTACAATTAGCAGGCATCAAATTAAATTCAAAACTGTAACTCGGAAACGATCCTTTAACGGTTTTCAGCAACTGCTTGGCGTTTTCGAGCAGCATATGAATCCTGTGCGGTCCTGATGTCGAGATCAGGGGTGATGACTTAGCTTTTTTGTTTAGTCCGAATGATAAGAGATCCTTACCGTAATCCCACATCACAAGAAGCTCTGGGATAAAGACACCTAGGCTATTCAAGGGAATCGGCAAGCCTAGCAGCCCCGCCAGTGTCGGTGTGATATCTGTCTGTTCAACAGTATGGTAATATTGCAGGTCACTGAATTCTTCCGTTGGACTATCGTTTCGAGTTTCGAGTCGCTGAAATTTAGGCGATATGAAAAGCAGAGCCGGTGATGTTTCGCCCACAGATGAACCACCATGATTCCCAGCATCGTTCATCCCATGGTCACCACATAATACAAAGAGGGTGGTTTCAAGATGTTTCTCTTGCTCCAGAGCTGTGTACACCATGTTAACAACAGAATCCATCTCATGTTGCTTTGCTATCATGTATGGGCTAGAGATGTGTCAGGAGAATGTTACAAAATACAATAGTGGCTGTAGCACCTTACCTATTAGGTCCAGCTTTGTGTCCTATATGGTCAAGACCAAGGAAGTGCATTATCAAAGCTGACCAGTCATCTTGCAAGAGTTCACTGGGGATGTGACGAGTCACATTATTGTCTACCTCTGTGAAGTCCTACAACGATGCTTAGCTCTGCCTATGACTGCAAGTCTAGAAATGTCACTTGGAGTGTACTGACCGAAACAAAGAAGCTCGTAGTCCCATCAGCCCTGTGAAACATCCCAGGAAATAACTTCAGCCAAGTGTCATCCCCATACATGACCATTTTACCACCTTTTGCTTTCAATTGTGCTAACCATGTATCTTGGTGCGTGAGAGTCGCCGAGGTATCAGCCTCTGCAATGTTAAGTATCACATCAAGAAATGACGGCACGGACCTGTTGTTATGGCTTTCAGCCGGGGCATTGTGACAGTCGGAGCGCTAGCATAGGCAGTGAATGGGAGAGCAGCGCCTGACCGAATTAAGCTATGGAGTTCTTGTTAGTGTGTGTGGTTGAATGAGAATCCCGATCCTTCTAACCTTTGAGTGAACAGAAACCCAGAGTTTTGGGAATAAACAAAATCGCTAGTATGAAAGTTAGCCTGAAGTACCGGGATCTCAGTGATGTTTGCGATCGTACCTCCGCAATGCATCGACTACCATAAAGACAACTTTGTCGAATACGCCCGGCGGAATTTGACTGTTATTGGTGTGTTCATTTGTTGCAAAGCCCGGGAGCAAATTCTTATAAGGGAAAAAGCCAGAGGAAAAGACGAGAATCGATATGGGGACGAGTATGTTGGCGATGAGTATCGTCCACTTCGATGTCGCAACCTTCATAGCTATTTCTCGGTGGCAGAAGCCACAAGCTGGAGCAATTTCAAGCAAGTTATGTTGGCCTATACCGTACCCAAGCTGGCATGTCCAGATCTGTTACACTGTCCATGTAGTTAAACTCAAGCAAATAGTGTCAACATCATTAGGGGTATACTTCGATCGGGCTACTGTATACAAAACTACCTATATTCATCACACCGCCTTCTGTTTGAGGATGTGCATTTATCCCATGTGCGGCATTCCGTGTTGCCGTGTTGGCCAAGTTCCCGACACAAGATGAGGAGCTACGAACGCCTCTGGACTACAGAACGGTACAAAGTAGAGGCTATATAAATATAAGTCGGAGACATTCTAGCCTCGTCTGACCCCCTTGTTCGGAGGCGGGAATATTTACCCCAAATTCGATGGGACCCCCTGGTGACGCTGTTGGTGTCATAAATTCTAATTGTTATTGATCATAACTGAAACACGATGAGAGGATGTTGTAGATAACCCCGAACGCCAATCTAGTGTTTATAAACAAATGGTGCCTAAAACTTTTACCTCCTCTTCGGGCCCTTATTCTTGGACTGGTGTGGACGGAACACAATGGACGAGCGATTCTTTCTGTTGCTGTGGCGTTTATGAATCCGCCCTCCTTTGTGAGAGCGACTCTGAGTAGTTTTAATGGAGCCGTTATCAATGTCCATATCTAGAGAGTGAGACTTTAATATGCAGAAAAACTGACTAGAGGCCGTGTGTGAGACTGACCTTCATTTGGTTGTAATATCTTAGTCTCTTCCTGGCGATCTGTATAGCACAATGACTTTGTGAGTTCCTCGCGAGATACAAGGGTACTTAGATACACACGAAAGAAATTGGAGGGGGAACCTACCCTTCATGTCCAGTGCCGTATCTAACTTTTCTTCATTACTTGGTTTTGGCTGGGAGGCAAGTTCTTGCAGTTTAGCTGAGAGCCTTTCAGTTCGCGCATCAACAACTGGCCCAAAGACTGTGGCTCGCAGTTTCGCTCTATTGCGCTTTTGGACACTCGCTCGGACACTCTTTGCCATGTCGATGGTAGAAAAAAGGAAAGAGGAATAAGATACTGAGATAAACGCGTTATCCTCAATTATAAGACGAAGCAGAGAATGGCTCTGTGAATGTGGTCAGTCTTTCACTTTTCATGGTCGGTCTTTCCTAAGTTCAAGGTTTTTTGTTTTTTTTTCCCCTTCCCTTTTTGGATTAGCTGCTCTTGTCTTCTCTACTGTTGTAAATTACGGGCGGTGGATATCTTATGTCATCCTATCGGAGACCGTTTTCTCACCTCCGCAATCATCGCCGACCGGGCCAGTCGCAAAACAATCCCAGCTGGGGTGTGTGCCAACCGAAGCTCTGTTCTTTTCATTAAATAAGTCTCCTGGTAGTATTTCAAAGCGAGGTTTGCTTTTGGAACTTTATCCTATCTTCTCTCTTTTTTGCCTTCGCCAAATCAAGTAAAGAGAAGGATTGAGATGTCTTTTATCAGAGTCGCCAGATATTGTGCGCCTGTTCTGGAATCCCCTCTTGAAATTCTTCTTACTCTTTGAATGCTATAACAGCTGATCGCACCACTCTTACTACCATCATGGCCTCTGTTTGCCAGTCGTCCGAGCTTCAAAGCGTGGTTGCTTTGGTGAAAACAATGACGAATGCGCAGCTAAAGGAGATACTGAGAAGTGAGGGGCTCGCTGTTTCTGGAGTGAAAGCTTCACTCCAGCTCCGAATCATTGATTGTCTGTTGTCCTTGTAATTTCTCGGCGTTGTTTTCCAGCCAGCGGGGCTTCCAATAGTATTCACTTGAAGCACACAAGAGTTGATCAGATGTATAGAAAGCTAACTATTTCTTGGATCTGCTAGTCATTGAGAGACTCAACCAAGGAGGGCAAATTGAGCGGTATGATAACTTGAAGAGAGCTGTGTACGCCACGGCACATCGATCAATGCCGCAGCCTTCAACGCCGCAGTCATTACCTAGTCACCAATACCAGTCTTCTTCAGCTAATCAACCGTTGCCAACGCAACACCGACCATCGCCATTGAGCGCACCGATGACGTCGCATGGACTCACTTCTGGTATCCTCCCGATGCCAATCTTCATGTTTTTACATTCCGGGATAAATTCTCATTTGCTTCTAGGCCAGTTAAATTTCAAAGAAAGTCCTTTCTACACTGTTATCCAGCAGCTTACACCTGTTGTAGAATGCAAAGGTGAGTCTTCAGATGTCACTCCTCAGTTTGCCATGTCTGTTCCCATCTAATATCGCAAAGTACGCGAACAGACTAGGGACAGTGTAGAACTTAGGGTGATTCTCAACCAAGATGTAGCTTCAAGGTTACAGGCCGATCCGAACCTACGGATAATGGTTTACTGTGCTGCAGATACTGGGCTTAATCAGTATACGAAATCGGACATTGCTTTCCCTCACCAAGTTGAGCTGAAAGCAAATCTTGATGAGGTGAAAGCTAACTTGCGAGGCCTCAAAAACAAGCCCGGTACGACGAGGCCTGCTGATGTGACAGACTATATTCGCAAGAAACCTGGATATCCGAATCATATTGTTATGACCTATGCCCTCACTACAAAGGCAAGCGTTGAGCCCGGGTTGATCTCTTTATCTCGTTTTCTTTCCCTTTCCATCCAGCACCCTCTCAGTTCTGATATCAAGCCTCCAGTGCTGACCTGCTATTAGAGATTCTTTGTGCTTGGCAGTCTCGTTCAGCGGCATCCAGTTGAGGAACTTGTAGCTGAGTTGAAGATGAGGAAGATAATCTCGAAGGACCAAGTACTACGAGAAAGTATGTACATTTCTCTTCGGTGTCTCTTAGAGGACCAATTTTAAAAGGCCAGCAGTGAAAAGCAGAGCGAATGACACGGACATCGTTGCAACATCTAGTGTTATGTCACTGAAGTGTCCTTTATCTACCCTTCGAATCGCGGTCCCCTGTCGCTCGGTAATATGCACTCATAATCAATGCTTTGATGCATACTCTTTCCTGCAATTGCAAGAACAGGCCCCAACGTGGTCATGCCCCGTGTGTTCTAAAGCGACCAGCTTTGAGTCATTACAAATCGATCAGTAAGTTCATCATGGAGCGGTTCTGGTTTTGGTCCTGGTACTGACAATATAGGTATGTTGATGATATACTTCGCTCAACATCTCCAGATGTTGAACAAGTTGTTATGGAACCAGACGGCAGATGGTCAAATCCGAAAGTCGGCGACGTTTCAGAAGCTGGTGGAGTTACTCCTGAGTCAGACGATGATGATCTAATAGAGATAAAGGAACTTGGAAACACGCCCGTTAAACAGGAGTCTCTTCCAGCCGCGAGTTTATCTCTACAACAGACCCCAGCTCAATCACGGGAGCCTTCATCGACATCATCTGTAACTCGTTTGTCAACAAACAAACGCCCTGCAGCCCAGGTGATTGACCTTACGGGGAGCGATGACGATAATGACGATGGTTCCCCTGTAAGGCCACCAAAACGGCCAGCTTTGAGCTTGCTAAATCGATCTTTACCCCGGCAAGAATTTCAGAGTTCATATAACACTGCTCTAGCAAATGGCAGGACTGCTCCTCGCGCCGGTCAGACTAGTTCTGAATCTCCCACCCAAAGAAGTGGCTATAATGCATAATCTCACTTTATCAATCTTAGCATCTAACGGCGTCGCGGCGCATTCGGTTTACGGTGTTTGATAACATTGCATAAGTTCAATTGGAGAATGAATTCGTTCACATCTTTTTTGAATATGGGATGAATCATACTCTACGTTCTGTCGTTTGTTCATCTGGCTTCAATGTAGCAAGACCTCGCCTAGCATGGGGTTCTTCCCGGGGGCATAAATTTCGAAGATAGTTGCGAGGGAGAGCAGAAAGAGACACGGATCTATGTTTCATTAATCGTGGCCTATGCATGTATCTTTTAAGTAGGCTCTTAGCATGACAATAGTGCATGGCGTCGGCGGCCAATTCCATATATCAGATTAAAGAGTTAATTAGTTACCTTAAGCGTTTGGACAATTGCTTGTGGACTGGGGAGGCCGATAAAATCAAATTCAATGGGGGCTGAAGCGGAACCGCTGCTACCGACACTCTTTACTACGTACTTATTTAATCAACGGAGATCAACCGTGGCCGCATGAGGTAAGAACCAACCATCCTTCCGTCACCCATTCTCTGTCACGCAGTGGTGGAATTGAGCCAGAATTCTCCCATGATTTCTATAGAGGGGGTATGGGATACGATTACTGATTCCTAAAGATAACCGCTGTTACTGCGCTCCAACCAGCTACAGACTTATCTCTGGGGCCATCTTCATCTTCATAAGGGGCCAACAACAAACGACATTTAAACGTGATGTCGCTCGATGCGCCAGCTTCGGCGTATAGTATCTCTGAGCCCCAGGCACGGGCTCTAAGTGCTTCATGTCTTGATTTCCTCCTAATAGAGCTGGTACCTATGGCAGAACGCCTGGCGAAGGAACTCTCAACCGATGATAAGACCCCCGATGACGATGAGATTAGGGAAACAACATTTTTCCGCCTCGAGTCTCTTGGATACAGAGTTGGACAAGGTCTTGCAGAAAGGTAAGCTACGGTTTTTTGGGGGGGGAGGCAAGAAAATCCACCCATTCAGTTCTTTCTAAATCCAGGCTAACCATGTGTGTTTATGCCTTTGCTCTCTGTAGATTCTCTCGAGACCGCCCTAGATTCTCGGATAATCTTGATGTTATCAAGTTTTTATGCAAAGACTTATGGACCATCCTTTTCAAGAAGCAGGTCGATAATTTGAAAACCAATCATCGGGTATGCACACCCACGTCGCCATATGAACACAAGTTTATCGTCGCACGTCAGCTCCTACATTGAGAGAGAAGCGGGTCGACTGACAAATCCTTATAGGGAGTATATGTTCTGACCGATAATTCATTTCGGCCATTTGCAAGGATGAGCATGTCTATGAGAAGCGAGGCGGTGTCCATGGCTCAGGCGGTATGGGATTACCAGTTGACCCCTTAATTAGCCAATAATTGTTATTGTCTAACCAAGCTCTAGTACCTATGGTTCCCATGTGGTGTCATTCGAGGCGCTCTATCAAACCTGGGAATTAATACTACTGTTCAGGCCGAGACGGGTGAGCTTCCAGGAGCAACATTTCAGATCAAAACAGTCCAACCCAAATCATGAATAGAGTGCGAACAGCTGGCCCGTACGTTATCAAGATGTCCATTCTCGCAGCGGAGATAGCCTAGAGGCAATACTTCAAAACGACCTGAAAATCGAGCCCAGCACCAGATAGACTGGGTAGCCGATTCGGCTAATGCTCTACAATCGGGTCACAGGCCACTTTCCCTGCTCCTACAGTACATTGAGACAAGTGCGTGCAGATATGAGGAGTACAATTACGTTTCCATTCTGCCTGTCTTTGCTATCCTCTTCCACCGAAACGACACGATTCCACATTCATCCATTCGTCTTTAAATAATCTCATGCTTCAAAGCCTATCTTGCTCAGGTATCAATGATTAGCGGGGTTCTTTCAGTTTCGTGAATTGGAAAGTAAGTCACCGAAAGAACGAGGTCCTTTCGATGGAGACAGGAGTGCGATATAGATGGCAAATAACCGACTGGTGGGTGGGAATCCTGCAGCTGATGAACGGGGGTGGGCGCGTTTACTTTGGTGGTGGGTTCTTGACGAAGTCGATGCCCTTCTCGATATTACCCTTAAGGCCTTTCGTGCAAGCCTCGAGGAGCTTCTTTTCCTTGTCGGTCACGCCCTCCAGAACGTTGCTAGCCTTCTCTGCGCCATTGGTCTGTTTGATAGTGTTAGCCTACCGTGGTATGAAAGAAGATTCTGTGAGGTTTTGAATCTTACTCCTAGGGTTACGAGAGTAGAGAAGAATTCCACGCCAGTTGCCTGGACAATCTCATCACCACCGGGAATTCCAGGCAGGTAGACGAAGGTAGGCTCGACAATGCCCGTTTGACCCTTTGAAGCTTTGATAACACTCTCGGCGAACCTATGGCATGTTAGCCGCGGGTATTTTCACAGCACGCTAGTATCCCTACCTGTAACCGGCATAGGCCATAGACAAGGTTGCGGAACCAGCGCCCTCCTTAGCTTGGACCACCTCATCTCCACCAAATTGGACACCTGAAGTAAGGTTAGTGGTTACAGCCGGGTATTCATGAGATTCTTTGGGACTACCCACGGTGGATCAGTGCGTCATACTTCTCCTCAGGTATCTGAACCGCGGGAGTAGTCTTGCTGAATAGGGGGACAATGGTCTCGCCAGAGTGGCCACCCACAACTGGGATTTTAACATCAGAAGGATTCTTCTGGCCCGAGAACTCTTGGGTGAATGTCTCTGCACGAACGACATCCAGGGTGGTGACACCGAAGAGGCGCTTGGGGTCAAAGACGCCAGCAGCTTTGAGCACCTCTGCAGCAATAGGAACAGTAGAATTAACGGGGTTTGAGATAACCAGGACAAAGGCCTTGGGGCAGAATTCGGCAATGCCCTTGACCAAGTCTCGCACTATGCCGGCGTTGATCTTGAAGAGGTCGTCACGGGTCATACCAGGCTTGCCTATTAACAATCAGAAAACCAACCACCAGCGAAATATACAAGGAGAAATGCGAAAGGGTAGGGACTTACGAGGGATACCGGCCGGAATGACAACAATGTCAGCACCAGTAAGGGCATGCTTCAGCCCATCATCCTTGGGCAGAAAGCCGGAGATTTTCTAATCGCTCAGGTTAGATACCATTTTCGCCCCTTCCATGGGGCAATTTGTATTAGGGCAGCGACGTACAGCGATAGATGAGATGTGGGAGAGATCAGCAGTAACACCAGGAGTGTTTACAACATCGTATAGAGCAAGCTCGTCAACCAAGGGACAGGTCTTCAACAAGAGAGACAGTGGCTTGATAGATAGTCAGTATCAAACAAGGTCATACTGAGATCACGGAGGTCAGGGATAGAGATATACCTGGCCAATGCCACCAGAAGCTCCAAGTACCGCTGCACTTCGAGTTAGTACTTATGGAGAGTGCCATCTGCTAAAGATTACTAACTCACCTGCTTTGACCATGATGGAGATTTATGAATCAAACAATTGAATTGGTCTGTTCCGTTATAAAGGGATGTGTTAGCGATCTGGGTAGTTTGAAGGACAAGGAGGATAAAGAAATGGATGGAGACCGTCAATGTGGGGTGGAGGGAGGATGGAACACTGGGTTTAAAGCAGGGAAAGAGGGGTAAATAAGCCAAGAGGGGAGGGAAAGGAAAAGGAAAAGGAAATTGGGGGGGAAGAGGGGTGGGGGGAGGGGTACGGAAGCAATCAAGTAGATATAATCGGGAGATTGTACGCCCAGTAGTAATCCTTTCTGAGGAAAACCCCTACACATATATATAGCTCTTGTGTCTCTTGATTCCTAGGTATGACTGACAGTTCCCAAGATCAATCACATGTGGAGAAAACCACATTACTGAGTCCGGAGTACCTAATACATTGCTAGATCGTCATATCCACAGGAATTAGAATAATTGGGAACCAATACGAATTACAACACCATTTCCCCAAACCTCCGGTACTACAGTTATACAGTTCAACAGATTCCGGCAATTTCCTTATAGCGCATCACTGGGGTCCTGCACAGCACGATGTACACCGCACAGTACATCCTGTACCTGATGATAGGATGCATGTAAGGGCTGTGTGTATGCCATACATACATACATACATACATACATACGTACAGCAAACAAAATAGTATCCGAGCCATGGGTTGGATCCATGGAAATAATAGGTAATTCCTAGCCATCCCAGCCACCCATACCACGTCCTTAACTTCCTTACGGCTCCCCCCGAACAAGTCGACGGCCCGGATTCCGGCAATTCCTCTATTCATGGATCCTACTACCATGCCCGAGGCCATCAGCCGGTTTTGTACCATTGGGCCGTTGAGACCTCGGAAAAAGGCGGGTGGGTGATCTGGATCTATCTACGGTTCAAGGAAAACAGCCTCGCGCTTATCCCTAAACCTTTCGTCCCCCGTCGGCCCGAACATCGGTTGTAGAATCCTGTTTATTACTAGAAGCATGTGCTAAGTCTTGTGACCATAACACCAGCTGGAGAATAAAACTACGACGTAGAGTTTGATCGTTCCCCCGTCAATCGGACTAGGTAAACCAAAGGTGGACGTCCGGGGAAATGGGTATTCATATCTCGTGTTTCTTTGTGTTTTTGTCTTTTTGGTTCTTTTAATTCTCTTTTTGAATGGCCTGGTGCACATTTGCCCCGGTAGCAGTATTGCTAAATTACATGGGCGCTTCCGCCCTTGACCAGCATGGCGCCACTATGCTTGATGCGCCCAACCCTTGCGACTACTCGTCTTCGAGTCCTGTCCTTTATGCCGACTCTTGCTCAGCGGCCTTCCGGGCCTGAGCACCTCTGGGCTTCTGGGGGGGAGTATCCTTCTTAGGCTTCTGAGAACGGCGAATGGCGCTCACACGAGCAACAGCGTCCTCACGGAGGTCAGCACGGTAGCCGTTCTTTGCGGTCTTGTCTGCAACACCCTTGTAGATCCTAACAAAAGTGACAACCAGGCAGTTAGCACAGACACGTGATAGTTGATTCTTCACCCATGAAGAGTGAGGTGGTCGGTTCTGCTTACTTGCGGGTAGAGGCCTTGGGGCCAAAGGTCACGCGAACGGCATTCTTTCCAGGCTGCTGAGCATTGCCAGACTTCTTGGTAATAACAACAACGCCACCGTTCTCAGTGGGCTGCACACCAATAGCCTGTTATCGCAGGTTAAAACAAGTCCGGGCATACATTTAAGTCATTGGTGGCTGTAGGGCGTGAATACCTTGGTGTTGGCGTATCCAGCGTGCTGAAATAAAGCGATATCGATGTTAGTCATCGGCACTCTGAGATAGGAGAATCAAGGAAAATGAAAACAGCCTCTGTATGAAAATCATCGGCATCAGGGCTCTCGTACCTTGAAAGAGTGCTTGTTCTGCAAGTTCAAGGGATCACGGGAGAACTGAGAGCCACCGCCGCTGTTACGCTTGACCAGAAAAGCATTCTGGTTGCCTGTTCATAATGTTAGGGATTAGTTGGACATCCAGGGCATCAGATAAATTGACGTAGATGGATGGAGAGTAGGTATGAATGCCGAGTATGGCGTAGAAGAGTTAAACGTACGGGTGAGCTGCCAGACCAGGTCGCTGGAAACGTTCTGTCTTTGAGCGGCCATTGTGAATTATCTCTTTCAGGCTGGTGGATTGAGGACGGATCGAAATCAGTCGACGCAAAGGCTGGTATACTGAACGATGGATTGTGTGTGCCAGCGCCAAGAATGGCAGTCTGCGGTCTCGCTAAGCGGACCGCTTTAGGAATAGTGCATGGAAACAGGGTTGCTGCCTCAGATCGAAGGCATCAGAGAAGTGTTCAGCCACAGACCCACTTGCCTCTTCCAGGCCTTCCCTTCTCCGTTCTACGGAGTCCTACTATTAGACCTCCCCAGGCTACCGGGTTATCCTGGTTCCAACCCAAAGCATCATATGCTCTGACGGTGGCAGCTGCCTGCCAGTTGAGAATCCCTCATTCATAATTTTAGGAGTTTTGGCCATTTGCGCTTCGCAACACTTTGCCGTTCACCTCCGGTATTGGGGAGGCCGTTAACGTTATCTCACACTGTCTGTTGTTTGACTAGCTTTGCAGCCATCCAACTGACCTAGTCGCCATGGCATACTATCTTCTATACGTTTTGACAATCTCTGTTGTGGTTTGCGGTACAGGTATATTGCACTCAAGCTAATCCAAAAAGTAGTTCCGACTGGGTATCATGCTGACAAGTTTGAAAGTCCTCTATCTTACCCGGGCCCGTTGGTTGTCTTTAGTCCCACTTCCTGATTACATATACGATCGCCTACCTTCTAGTTTCGCCGATGACCTAGAGACGGGACTGACATCGACGCAGTTTGACCTCTCCGCCAACATTGCAGATGGTGACACTAGGGCTGGGTTGGATAACCAAGCTAAACGGCAAATCAGGAAGATCATGAAACGCCAAAAGATAGACTTTGATGAAGCTCGCCGGATATATACCGAGCAGCGTTTTGCTAAGAACAACATTGGTCCCGATGGCCGGCCCAGGGACCCGAAATTTGTTTCATTCTCATAACATGGCGTTGGCCATGAGACACTTTCTGTACCGTATTACATGCAACCATTGATTCTTTTCCCTTTCTTCACTCTTTCCTCTTTTCTAGGGCCCTGGCAATATGTCTGCGAGACTTCATATGAAAGTTCTTTTTCATTTTCCCTCTCTCTATTCAAGTCATAAATATCCTTAATGCACAAAGCCAAGTACCTGCTATAGACACACTAAGGATCGATGACGTTTGTGATTGCACTCTCAACTAGCAATTTATTTAAAATAGCCTTGCCTCTAATTCTCATTGTCCTTAGAATCTGAGCTTCAAGAGATCTGCCTATATGCATTAAAACCACGGGTCCTATTTCATGCAATGTCTGCACCTAATGAAAGGTGCAACCATGAGTGCTAGAAGAGAGAATAATAGGGAAGGTTCCATATACACATGTTGTGTGCTCCGCTAAACCTGAGTCCAGCACTGATATCGGGGTTCTCGATTGGCTGGTATGCGAAAGATATTGGGGTTCGGGTTCTTCCCAGTTTTCAAGGATGTTCGTTTCCCACCTAGCTTTTCGGGCCTATTCTTCTGATGAATTGTTACATCATATCCAAGCAGCTCCCAACCAAGTACTCATTGGGAAGGGGGCTAACTTCCAAACTAACACATTGAGCTGAATGCTCATCGGCCCCGACCATAGGCTGGCTGCTGAAATCCTTGGGGTAATGGTGGCGGGGGTGCTGCATTCCCAGTAGGAGGGCCAAAGCCGGGAGGCGCGAAGCCTGGAGGTGGCGCTGTTTGTGGAGGAAAAGATGGTTGCTGACCCGTATTGTTGAAGGCTGGAGGTAAGAAAGCCTGCGGTGGACCTCCATAGCCGGCTTGTGAAGGTGGAGGCCGTGCTGGCAAGCCTGGTGGTGGATTTGCCAAAGGTGTCGCAGGTGGAACAGACCTGTGTTGTGGGGGAGGCACATTCGAAAAACCAACATTAGGGGGGGCAACGCCTCTGCCTATCCCTAGGTCAGGAGGTCCAGTGCTGATCGGCCTAGAGCTGTCACCATTGGCCATGGTCGGGGGCACCATAGGGGTCCCTGAACCTGAGAATGGTGATGGTAACGGCTGAGTCGGCGGGCGTACGTTATGCTTGCGGGCTTGCGCAGCTAACATCCGCTCAGCCTGATCACCATGACGTTCACCCTTGCCATCTTTCTTATAGGCGTATTGTACCGAGACCTGTTTATTCATGAGGTACTGGCCATTCATGTTTGCTATGGCGGCATCCGATGACTCAAAATCGCCGAACGACACAAAACCATAGCCCTTTGATAGATTATTGTCATCCCGTGCAATCTGCGACAAGGTTAGCCCACACCTCTCAAAGACGGCAGATAGTCGAGATTACCTTCGGTAAATTGACCAAATTCCCAAACCGACTAAATGTATCATAAAGGACTTGTTCCGTGACCATGGGGTCAAGGTTACCAACAAAAAGTTCTGCGCCAATTTCCACAGACTTCTGCTTGTCAGCAGACGCTTTGTTCACGCGTATTGGCTTCCCATATAAACGGATGCTGTTCATTATTCGGGATGCATATTCTGCATCCTCTTCGCTGATGAATTCAACAAACCCGTAACCTTGGTGGGACTGTGTGACTCGATCTTTCGGCAGGTGAACGTTAACGATGCGCCCTGCCTGCAGCATCAACTCCCATACCAGGCTATCTGTGACCCTTTCATCAAGATTGCCAATGTAGACGGTGGCCTCTTTATCCTGCTCCCTATAGCAGCTGTTAGTGTCTGAAACTCTTGTAACCCCTAGAATGGGGAAACAGCCACTCACCAATGCCTTGCACCGGACATGGCGGCGCGTATGCAGCGTAGCGGTAATCGGTAGGTAGACGACTTAGCAGAAAGTATCTAGGAGATAATATGTAAGATTGCCGATAATATGGTACAAAAAGCTATCAGACAGTGATTGTGTTAGAACGAGATGTGTCGAATCAATGTTTAACAAAGGTGGGAGTAGGGTGAATACAATAATCCTGCAGTTGGGTTTATCGGCGGCAAGCTGTTTTTAGCCCCCGAAAAGTTTTGAGCTTTCGCCGTCTTTCTTCCTTCTCCGCCAACTACGTATTCTCCGCTTTTACTTGACTGACATCCTTTCCTTTTGCTTTGGTAATTCTACCCTCAAACAATTTACCAAGATTTGATCCTTTTGGAGATATAATATCCACCGCTGTCTATCCCAATAAAGCTCTCTGGACACCTACACTCTTCGTGGCTATCACAATGGTTCAGTTTTCGGAAGAGACCAAGGTTAGACATACAATCCTCAACAGAACCATGTAACGATTACTGATAGTCTTCTTTACGTTAGGAGCGCATCTCCAAGGTTATTGATGTTTCAAGGGTCGCTATTCACTAGTGAGTCGCCCGACACATGAGCACCGTGAAATACGACAAAAACTGACTCGGCGTGCAGCGGATATCTGCCCTTGATTGTTTATCTTGGTATGGTGACTTTATTTTATTGCGACATGGATGTTTTGAGAACTATGTGTACTGATTAAGCTGATAGGTTACACGTATAGCGAACCCAAACCATCTTTGTTCAAGTATTTCTAACGAACTCCTTCCCTCGCCTTCCCGATATCAGAAATTTGAGCTGATGTTATGGCCAGGTTGTTTTCACCGCTCGCATAAAGTGTATGAGCTCTAAGGATTTGCCGATAATAAATAACAGTCTTTCAGGGCCGAGAGGTTTTCTTTTTTTTCTGTTGTGCCTTTTTCGCCTACAGCGGGAGTTTTCAACTCATGGCTGAGCGAAGGATGGGAAGTCTGTCTTATTCAGTTTATTATATCGATGATGGGAGCTTCAAATTAACACCATGTATTTTTAAGGATTTTTTTTATTTATATCAGGGTACTTTCTGATGATGAACATATATGACTGTGCTTCGGTCTGTAGAAGTTGACTGTCAAGCGCTAGGTGAATAAGCATGAGCGGAATACTACGAGGAAAAAGGACTTCTTGGATAACCGACAGACCCTGAGACTTCCGACCATTCTTTAATCGAATGAATTGACTGGACATTTGTCTACATTAAATCGCAGCCAATTCGCCGTTGGTCTGAGAAAGGTCCTTGTTATCTATAAGTTGATTACTTCCTGATCTAGGCGCGAACAGGCAATATCTGCCGCCGAACTGTAATCGATACGCGGGCCGAGGGAGACGAAAAAGTCGATGACGGAACCAACCATCCGTCACTCTACCAAGCTATACGAACGCAACCCAGGGAGGAGTAACAAAAGGTTCATGAACGGCCAGGATGGCTTGTCGTCATCCTTTGTGGAGAGCGTAGCGGGATTTACGGCTGGAATTGTTTCTACGTTGTGTCTCCATCCCTTGGATTTGATCAAAACTCGACTACAAGGTAAGCCGGGTCCTTGTGTGTATACGCATGCAATCCTCTGCCCCTACTTCTGCCCTTCATTTCGATTGAGTTGACACTCGCTTGGGATGTATGAGTGTGTGTGATGGTCGCTAAATCTTCTCACCCCTGAATGACTTAGTTGACCGATCCTCATCCTCTCGAGTGGGCGGTTCGCTTCGCGTCGTCCGCGGTATATACCAGAATGAAGGCGGCATCAGAGCGTTCTACCGGGGACTGACGCCCAATATCATCGGCAACTCGACCAGCTGGGCCCTTTATTTCTTGTGCTATGGCAATATCAAGACTGCAATGCGTACTTGGCGCAGCTCTCGGGAGGAAGAGCTTACATCCTCCGATTATTTTCTTGCCTCGGGGGCCGCTGGTATGCTTGAATTCTTAACGCTGGCTCGCAAATCTGAATTTTGTGGTGACTGACTTAATCGGTTCTTTACATCAGGCATGCTGACATCTATCTTGACAAATCCTATCTGGGTCATTAAGACTCGTATGTTATCGACTAGTTCTAGGACGCCCGGAGCGTATGCATCTTTCACCACTGGTGCCTCACAGATATATAATCAAGAGGGTATTCCAGGCTTCTATCGTGGTCTTCTTCCAGCTCTTTTTGGAGTAAGCCATGGCGCGCTCCAGTTCATGGCTTATGAAAAGTTGAAACTGCACCGGATCAAGACATCATCTGCGACGATGTCTAGCGATGGCTATGTGGGATCAACACAAGTGCGGTGGCGAGGACTCGGTAACCTAGATCTCTTCATCATCTCTAGTCTCTCGAAAATATTCGCCGGGGTTGTCACATATCCATACCAAGTGTTGCGGTCCCGGTTGCAAACTTATGATGCTCATCTTATGTACCGGGGGGTTCGAGATGCGGCTTTGCAGATCTGGGCCAGAGAGGGAGTGGCCGGTTTCTACAAGGGTCTGGGGCCAAATATATTGCGGGTGCTGCCAAGTACATGGGTCACATTTTTGGTGTATGAGAACACCCGAGCATATTTACCCGAACTGATATCACGCGCATAGTGCGCTTCCGTCTTTAAA